TCTGTCACAGGCCTGGGTTCTCACCAGCCTCATTTTCTTAGCAACATTCACTGCTGACTCACTTGGCTTGTGGTCAGCTCTGAACCCAGGGTCTTTTTCAGCTCTCCCTTTACCCCACCACCACTCCCCAGCCTGGATTTGTGGTATGGGAATGGGATCATTATCAGAGAACATTCTGTTTAGGTGGCCCTTCTCAAGGAGCCCAAAGCATTGCTAGACTGACAGTTTCATGAGGGTGAGGGTCATGTCTACCTTGACCACTTTCATTTTCCCACCAGCTAGAGCACTGCCAGTAGGTACTTAGTAAGTACCTGTTGAATAAATTAAGGTACTTTGAACTGGTCCCTGTCTTCCGGGAGAGTCCCGCCTGCTCTGGGGCAGCATCCTTGGAAAAGCAAATAAGCAAAAAGCCCTGAGACTGAGTTTACCAATAAATGAGCTCTAAACTGATTCCCACAAGTACAGGGCAGTGGAAGGACCGTGGCCTGTGGACCCAGACTTGGGTGTGCATCCCAGCTCTGCTAATCATTGGCTTGGTGACTTTGTGGGTGTTATCTATGGCAAGCCTTAGTCTTCTCCCTGGAAAAATGGGCTATCAGTACCTGCCAGGGTGATCGTGAGAATTACATACAAATATATATGGGAAAGTGCCCAGCATGGGATGGCAGTGATCTTGGTTTCGCATCATTCGCTTTTTCTGGAGCACCTACTTTCTTTGACTGCCATTGCCTCCTGTGGTTTGGTCCAAGTCTCACCTCCTCCCTGACACCTGTACTCACTCAGCCTTCTTCTCCCCTCCCACCCCCAACAAAGACATCCTCTGCCTGCCACCCGGCACACCCGGCCAACATTTGTTAAGCCAGCATCTCAAATTCAGATGCCTATAGCGACCAAACATACATGAAAAAAGCAAGCTGGGTGGGATTTTTACATGAAATCTCCCCCCTCTTTTTTTTTTCAATTTCCATTAAATTAAAAGAAATTTCATTTTTCATTTTGAAATAACTGCAGACTTGCAAAAATAATACAAAGACTTCCCATATCACCCAAGCTTCCTTAAATGTTAACATCTTATATAACCAAACAATTTTCAAAACCAGGAAAATAACACTTTACAGTACATTAACTAATCTACAGATCTCACTCAAATTGCATCAGTTGTCCCACTGTCATCCCTTCTCTGACTCAGGACATCCTGCAGGATTTGGTGGTCACATCTCTTCAGTCTCCTCCAATCTCTGGCAGTTTCCAAGTCTTTACTTGTCTTCATGTCCTGGATACTTGTGACAAATGCTGGCCAATCATTTTGAAGCATGGCCCTCAGTTTGGATTTATTTGATGTTTTCTCATAATTCTCTTGAGGCTGTGCATTTTGAGCAAGTTCCCCCACAGGAGTGATGGTGTGCCCTCCCCAGTACATCATATCAGGAGACACATGACGTGTCTCCTTACTGGTGACACTTCAGTCACTTGACTAAGATGGTATCTGCCAAGTTTCTCCACCAAAAGCTACTTTTTCCTTCTCTATAATGAAGAATTGGGGGGGGGTACTTTGAAGGTTTGTAAATATCCTGTTCTCATCAGACTTCTGATTTTTACTCATTTCTTTATTTACATCTGTGTAGATTTGTGGCTTCCTGTTTTATCCAAAGGGTTATAATCCATTACTATGATTATTGATTTTAATGCTAACGTTGTCCCTTCCTTGGCTCATGGGAGCCCCTTTGAGTTGGCTTCCTGTCCGTTTGATATGTCCCATCCTTCCTTCTTGCTTTCGGACCTAAGAAAGTGCTCCAAGTTCATCTTGTATTTTCCCTACCCAGACCTGGAATCCGCCATTTCTCCAAGGAGCTGATTTCTTTGAGTAAAGAATGATGCTTGGAAGCCAAGGTTTGAGGGCCAGATGTGCCAATTGCTGTCTGGCTATCACTGTTCCCACACCCTCTCCACAGGATGAGCTAGGAAATAAATGTATGCATGGTGTAGACACATGCACACAGCTATTTCTGTATTTGTGCATGTTGAAAATCATTAATTCACGGCTATGCCTTCATTTCCACTCTGAACACCACAGGGTTTATTATTCTACGTTTCTCTCTGTGTGTACCTCCCTTCCCCAACTGTGAGGCACCTGCCTCCCCACTTTATCCTCACTGTATTTACATATTTGATAAGTCCTCTTGTATGTAACAACCTCTCGTCTCTGCCCTTCTCAGACACTCTGCTCTGGGCCATCCCCACCTCCTTACCCTGAGTAGCCTCTAACTTCCCATAAAACTCCCCGTTTTGAAATGATGGTTCATATGTTTTTTAAACCATGAGGCCCAAGTAACTGGACCAGGAAGCTGGCTTGTAAGCCCCTCCCGCCTCGCCAGCATCTACTCCCTCCACTCCCATCCCGGCACCACACGCAGGTAAACTCAGCCCTCCGGCACTCCAGGTTCTGTCCTCTTCTCGGCCTCTGCTTTTCCAGTTCTTTCTACTGAACTAGCCTTCGCCTGCACCTACCCTTTCTCCCTTC